AGCGGGACCGGGGGGCTGGTGGGCTCCCTCACCCCCACCTTCGTCGCTTTCCCAGCGGTTCCTCCTGCCGCTCCCCCCAAGTGTTTTTCCCCTAGGAAGTACATATGGAGGACATACCACTTAACCTACGCCGGAGAGAAACTGGCGGATGACAGGAAGAAGCTGAGAGAGTGAGTAATCAAGTCTCTTCTGGCGTCTGTGGGGCTGGCGAGGCCCAGCGGCAGTGCACACAGCATCCGCACAGGCCGACTCGGGGCTTCGTGCCCTGGCTCAGATGGGGCCTCCCAGCACTGCAGCGGGCTGCCCAGGGCAGCGGTGGAGTCGCCACCCCCGGAGGTATTTAAAAGACGTGTAGATGTGGCGCTTAGGGACATGGTTTAGTGGTGGACTTGGCAGTGCTACGTTAACGGTTGGACTCAATGATCTTAAAGGTGTTTTCCAACCTAAATGATTCTATGATTCCACTTGTAATTGGCTGCAAGATGGGACCAGCACCGCACACAGAGGCAGGACAGATGCTGCCCTGACAGGCTGAGAGGCCGTCTGCAGGACAGGGAGGCCTCAAGTAGTTCCTCAGCCACAACCATCCTGTGCTGAGTGTGTTCATCCAATGCAGACCACACCAAGGCACTCGGATGCATTGCCCCTTGGCCGCCTATGCTTACTAAGGTTACACCTGAGGTATCCTGCAGAGACAAGATTAGTGAGAAAAAGCACGTGTGAGGGGAGCAGAACACAGAGAAGGCCAGGAATGGTGTCATGCACATGAAGCACATCAGTTCATCTCCAGGGAAACTGGGAGTGCAGGGAGCTACTCAGCAGAGGATGTGGTCAGGACACATTATGTGGTCGAGGGGATCCAGGGTGGAAGGGACCTCTGGGAGTCATCTGGTCCAACCCTCTGCACAAGCAGGGTCAGCTAGAGCTGGTTGCTCAGGGCTGCGTCCAGTTGGGTTTTGAATATCTCCAAGAATGTGGACTCCACAACCTCTCTGGACAACCCATTCCAGTGCTCAGTCTCCCTCACAGAGGGCTTGGCAGAGCTGCTGAGGTAGAAGGGTAGGAAGGAGGATGGAAGAACAGCAAGCAAAGGGCAAACCAAGGATAAGTATTGGGCTCTGGATCTGCTCAGCCACGTATCGGAGACCATCTAGTAACACCACTGACAAACCACTCCCACTTTTCCATGCCCATTCTCAGGGCAAGGAGGCAGGAGGTGTTTCTGAGCACTCTAGCTGTGGCATACAGCGCTGCTGGGTGTGCCAGCCTGCGTGCAGACCAGCAAGAAAAGCTTGTCTGAAGTATTAAAAATTTAGCAAGACAGCCCTTATCCAAGCTGTCCTCGAAAGACTGAGCCATGGGTGATAGATGTTGCATTTAACAAAGGCAGATGATCGGATCCTTCAGTGCTGGCAGCATGTTCTACATAGATGAGTGAGAATTTTAACTCGTCCTGCATTGGAGCACAGCACGGGATTGTAGGAGTCCATCTCCCCCTGGGAAAGAGGCAGCTATAGGATTTCAAAGGTTGTGGTTCCTGGGGAACTGGCATGTAATGGCATAACTCTCTGTTCAGGTATGGCATCAGAAACCGGGATGAGGTCAGCTTCATAAAGAAACTTCGAAAGTAACCTGTCAGGTAAGTCCTAAATATCCATTAAGAGCTACCAGTTCTTCATCTTCCTCTTCCCCAGGCCTTAGTGTTCAGGCTCACAGCAGCTGGTGTTGCTGCTCTCGCGGTGTAGCAGAGGATTTCTGAATGCTCGTGTCTGCATTAGGCTTGCGCCCTGGCTCGGGTCTATTTCCACATCCTGGTTGTGTCACCTGTGCTTCTCTCAGGGCGGGGAATGATAATTCAGCTACTTCAGTTAACATACCTCAGGAGCAGCAGCAGCAATATCTTAGTGCTGGCAATGGTGTATCGCTAACCCTACTTTATCTTTAGACTCTGAATCCGCTCCCACAATGTCTTGAGATGCATTAAATGCAGTGTTCCTTTGTTTGCCCTTGTGATTGCTTCTAGGACCTTGCTTGCTTTTAGGCTTCTTGAATCTCTGGAAATCGCTGCTAGGAATGTGGCTGGGTGCTAACTAACCCCCAGGAGGACGGAGGTCTCTCTCTGCTACAGGCGATTGCCATCACCCAGGTCATTTGGGTCCTTCTCTGTGCCTCAGACCCGAGTGACTGTTCTCCCAGCCTGCTCCTGGCACACCCGTACCATTCAGAACACCTGCAGCTAACAGAAATGTCCCGTGGGTGCGCATAAGCAAATGCAACAAGCAAACAGAGCACGTTCTTTGCTGTTCCACAGTGGGTGTATTTTGAGCCGTCTCTCTCAATTACTGCAAGCTATAAGGAGTTAGGAAAAGGGGCCTCAGCTTACATATCCTGTAGTTTTTGTCTCTCAGTTTCTCCATTTTCTGGTTTATAGAAACTCAACTTCAACCAATTCATTGTTCTCAGAAGACAGGACACACCCCTGGGCAACTCTTGGTCTTGGTATTTCGGTGCAGCTGATGCATTTAAAAATACTTCCAGCACAGGAAGCACTAATAAATGTATATTTACCTGTTCGTAACCTATGTAGACATAATTCTGGTATTATGTTGCTATTTTTAGAAAGTTGCGCACACAAACACAAGATGTGGCCAACACTCTCAAGCTTAGTAAGTTTAAAATTATGACTGCTCCCCCCCAACATCTAAAAACACAATCACAGTGTCTGAAGAGCAGTGGTAACAGCAGCTTTTCCAAACGCTTGGTTTTCTGTTTTGCGGCTCCAGCTAGCTGGGTTAGAAGCTGTTGCTTTGTGACCATGGTAACTTTTTTCCTTCTTTCAATGCTGCCGCATTTGCAACATCCAGGGTAATAAAATGTGTGCCATGACAGAAGCCCTCTGCCCCACGGTGCCTGTGACCAGCCTGTGACCTGCAGCACTGGCTGATCCCCCCTGGCCTGTCTAGGCGTGGTGGTGTGGTGATAAGAGAGCCCAGCATGCAATAACTATTGTCACTGCCAAATATCTTCTTTCTTTAACAGAGAGCAGAGAATCCAGCACTACCACGACGAGACTGTGGATTCAGCACGTTCCTGGAGGAAAAGGTTGTAACATTTCAAAGAGAAACAAACTCAAGTTGAATGGACATTCCCATGTGTTTTTTGCAGTTGATATTTGAAATCTCTGCTTCTGAGCTGTATGTGGAATGCGCTTTCAGTGATTAAAGAGATGTTCTAGTTTTCTGAGGCTTTTAAGGCCCTTATTTCCAGCTGCAAATCTGCGTCTGACTGTTTTGGGTGCTAGAAAACGATGGAGTCTACTGGTACATGAACAGCATAGATGAGATAAAGTAACAAACGTAGCCACAGACTATGCAGAACAATTAACAGTAGCTAAAACGCTACCTTACCATTTAATCACCACCTTAGCAGTAGTAAACAACTCTGGTTAAAAATGTAGTATTGAAACTAGTGTAATAAAAATAATGGCAGCAGAAAAGGTTCAATACAATTGAACAAGGCACAAACGTTCTGTTTTCAGAGTCTTCTGAGATAAGGCAAAACATGCCTGCCAAGTGCTAAGGAGACAGTTTAAATTAACCATGGGCAGGGTTAGAAGTGTCATTGGATTAGAGACTTTGTCCACATGGAACTGGCACAGCAAACGCAAAGACAGTCCATCTCCAGTGCCTGCTCGAGAAGCCAGTCTTTGCCTTTCAGTGGAGCTGTGCATCCAGGTCGTATTTCTCGCAGAATTTGTCTGTGAATGGTATACAAGTAAGGAACTCGCACCACTCGCACTTGATGGGGTAGAAATAGAACAGAATCACAAGTCCTGAGAAGAGTGCAATGAAGATGAGCTGGAAAACTATAATTTGGCATCGCTTCCTATATAAATCAAACTTCCCAAAGCTAATGTAGGGCAGGAAGGCAAAGGAGAGGAAGAAACCACTGATAAATCCTGAAATGTGAGCAAAATTATCAATCCAAGGCAGGAGGCCAAAGGCAAAAAGAAAGAGCACCACAGCCAGCAGCTTGAAGAAAGCCCTCCATGGGCGTGCCAGGATTTGCCAACTCTGGAAGAGCTCCACAAAGAGACAGGCCAGAATCCCAAACTGGGATCCTGCAGGGCCAACCTGCAGAAGAAGAGCATTACAGGTAACATCAGGCACATCCCATCTGCCTGGCTTCTGCAGCCAGCTCCAGGCATTACAGTTACTCATCATTCAACTCCTTGTTCAGTGTTTCTTGGGAAAGAGATGCCGCAGCTTGCAACTTCATCCTTATAATGGGGTTCAAGGAGTAAAAGGGCCTGGTTTGATTATGGATCAAGGTAGGTGTGAGGCCAGCAATCACCAGAACAGATGCTATATTTAAGGAGGGCAGATCTGGTTTAAGTCACCAGAGTGGAGCAGCCCTTGAAGGCAATCTCCTGGCTCCCCCCACCCACCATGCACTTTTCCTTATTGAAGGACCTGGGAGATAGTCCTCCAGGTCCTGCCACGCAGTCTTCTAAAGTGAAGCTGGATGGTCACATCAGACTTCTCCAGCTGTGGCATGTGGACAGGGACAGTCCCGGACAGTCTGTGGGAAAGGTAAGCTCTGCTCTTTGCCCCTCTCTTGCCTGCCACTCATGTGGAGGGTCTCTGGCACCAGCTACAGCTCTCAATTTCCAGCTTGCCAGGGGCCTCTCTTATCCTGTGGTTGGACAAACCCCCCTATTCATTATGAGAGGCAGCCTTCTTTCTGCAGCCAGACCAGGCCAGTCACTTGGAAAGCCCAGGGTACTCTGCAGGATGTTACTGCTCAGCAGCTAGGTGATGGTGTGGTGCCATCTTCTAGCTACAAATCTGCACAAGCAGAGATGAGCCCAGCTCTGGTGTCTCTGCATGTACAGGCATGTAGAGGAGGCTTGTGTTCAGGGCAAGTTACCAGGACCCTAGTCTGCAGGAGACCCACCTCTGCTCTGTAGGGTAGAAATATTGCACTGGCAAGGTTCCCAGTGATGCCACTGAGCAGGTAGATGATAGAGATGCGATGCCATCCTGCCAGCTTCTCTAGGTCCCGCAGGATCGTCATTTGGAAACAGACTGAAACCAGACAGTGCAGGATCCTGCCAAGTTCAGAGTACAGGAGCTGAAGCAGTAGCCACTGAATGTCACCCCTGTGCTGGTGTTCTTTGACGAGCCTTGCTGAGAGCTCCCGGTCTGGCCTCGCCCACGCCTCTATAGCCCTCCCAGCAAATGCAGCATGGTAAACCTCAGCAGGGACAACAGCTCAGCCCCCACCGTGTCCCCCAAGGAAGAAACTGCCAGAACAAGCCTCATAGCAATCCCAGGGTTCAGGGTTCCCCCACCCAGATAGTGGAAGTTTTACTCCTACGCTTACCCAGCATGGAGGAAAAGTGAGAGCCAGAGGCGGTAGAACTGGTCAGGGACTTCTGGATTTAGGAAAGGGAGGAGTCCACAGACGTCATCCATGCAGTGCACCTAGGGCAGAAGTGGGGTTGTGAGGTGCGTCAGCCAGCATGGCCCTTTATGAAGGCCAGGGAGACTGCAGTTAGCTCTGAAAGAGGGGCCCTCTTCCCTCTTTTCCGCTGTCTCAAGTCCCTTGTCTTCAACACCAAGTTACACATGACCCCACCCATTCCCTATGGCAGCTTTATGCCCTCATTCTTCACCCCAACACACGCACAACTGAGACATCTGCATTTGCTCGCCAATGGAGCAGGAAGGTTGCATTCTCCTGCTGCTTCCACAGTGGTTCTATGTTGGGTGTTTGCAGCTGCCAGCCCAAGACCTAAACTGCTCTCCGAAGAGGGACAGATGCAGCCAGCTCTGCCACTACTGTCTGGATCAGCAACTTCCCCCCGGCTCAGGGTGGGACAGGACACAGGACTCCCACCTACAGTGCAGCACAGTCGTCCCCGTATCTTGCCGAGCTGCTAAGGGGAACAGGAGAAGGGCAGCCATACAAACCCTCAACTCTGCACTTACCTGAGAGCAGAGCGTTGCCTCCTCATGGAAATATCCCCGCATAAATTCACAATACTCCCGGGAGGTTATTTCACACCTGGAGGAGGCACAAGTAATCAAAACGAGAAACAAGTCACACGTGGAAGGCACAATGGACCATCCTGTGCCCTCCCAAGCCACCCACTCCCCCTTGCCTCATCCCAAGTCTGCCTGTGAGAACTGATGCCTTCAGCTGCCCCTGACAAGCTGTAGTGTCTCTGCAACAGATGCACTAACACATTCCCATTTGAGCCCAGTGCCACTCTCCATACACCCCTCTTGCTTCTCTCCCATACTCAAGCCTGAGTCACCTCCACAGACTAACACTCTGCATACAGGGGCTCCAAAACAAGTGCTGAAGCTGAGCTAGTTACAGCTGAGAAAGAACCACCAGAGCTGGGGGAAGCTGTGTCTCTGGGGCTGGGGGAGTCCTGTGCCTCTGTTGCTGACAGAGTGGAAAGGGGGGCTAGGCCAAGAGCATCCTGTCATGACTTTCAGGGACAGAGAAACTCCTTGAGGCAGCACTGTTTTTTCTCCCTAGCAGGGAAAGCCAGGCCCAAGCACTGGGTAACTACTCAAGCTGAGGAGCAACATGAGGAAGAACAGCATCTTCCTTCTTGGCAAACTCAGAGCAGGTTGTTTCCTCACATCTTCTTGAATGCTCAGGGACGCCATGCTGGGGCCAATGTGCCCTGTCTGGACCAAGCTGGCCATTCCCAAGGAAAAGTGAAGAATTCCCCAGCAGAACTCTTTAAGCCCTTGGGATCTGAGTCCCTCCAAACTGCAGGACCAGTTGAGCGAGATACCCTGCTGCACCGGAGACTCAGGCTGGCTGTTATTTCCTGCTCATCCCAGAGTCCTGCTCCGTCTGAGAGACCCGTCATGGCTCCCTGTCCAACTCCCCTTCCCAGCAGGGCTCTGGGCTGTGGGAAGGACAAGGAGGACAAATGGCTGTGTCTACAACCTGAGAAGGGCCCCCTATGTCTCATCCCAACACGCAGCCCCTCTCCATACAGGTAAAACTCATTACCTTCCTTTGGTCCCAATGCAGCAGGGCCGGCCTGTAATCACGCAGTCCATGTGAAGGTGGTTGGTGTAATTCCCAGCACTGTTTTTTGTGCAGATCTGGAAAATGACAACAGGCTGCAGTCAGACAGACAGGGCTTTGCTTGCTGCCTGGGTAACGTCAAAACAGGCCCTTGTGAAGAAGCCAGTCCCAGAAACATGGGCCTCCCAAAGCCTCCCTCTAACAGCAAGATGGTGACTGACACCCCATCTGCCTGAGCCATTGGAGCCTCTATCAACACCTCCTCCCCACCGAGGGATGAAAACAGTGCCTAGGCTGAGTCAGTCTCCATCACCCTGTTACTCTGGCAGGGCCCAGGGCTTTAGCAGGGCTTTAGGTGGTGCAGGGGAACTTTTATTGTTGGAGAGCTTCAAGCCTAGGGCTAGACAAAGCCATGGTTGCCTGATCTGATGTTTGTGACAATGAGCAGGAGACTGCACCAGAGACCCCTTCCACCAACACAGCTGTGGCGCTGCACAACGGGATGCAAACACCATATTCCAGCTGCCCATAGAGGCCCTGTGCCACCGGCAATGCTCACCGGCCATTTGGTGATGTCATCCGGCCACTCATGTGGCTCCATTGAGGCTGGCTGCTCACACACCCTACAGCAACAGAAAGCAGAGATCAGCCAGAGAAATTACCTTCCCCAGCACCAGCAGCACGCAGGATCTCCCAGAGAGCCACCACACTGTCCCTGTCCCAAGGGTCCCACAGCTCCCCTCGGTCCCTGGCAAGGGGCTGGTGACGCGCTACATCAGATCAGCCAAGGCTGTGCCGATCAAAGCCGCAGCCTCCTTCCAGTGAGCAGAGATCACGGCTTCAGCACAAAGGCAGCCGTGCGAAAGCACGCAGCTGCCCAGCAACTCGCTGGCTCCTTTCCAGGCGGACACAACCCCAAAGGTGGCCCTTCAGCTGGTCTCAGCTCTACATCAGCCCATGGTGACCGAGGGCAAAGGTGTGCCATGGCACCCAGCAGCTGGCCGGGCTCTGGGGCAGAGGTGTTCTGGGAATGTGACTGCTGTACCCCAAGAAGGGAGCCTGTGCGGGGAGCAGGTGAGGAGGGGCAGAGGCATGAGGAAGGCACCGACAGCTAACAAGCCACTGTGCAGGTGGGCTGCCAGCAACAATGGAATCTAGGGGGAGCAGAAATATCACCACACTGCCTCTGCCTCCCGTTGGGGCAGGTTGGGACATTACTGCCCCCATGTCCCTTGGTCGCCAGAGCAGCTGCTGTCCCATCCAGCAATCAACTGGCCTGGGACCGCATGCCTCTCTGACTCTACAGTGTCTCCAGAATAGCAGCTGGACTAGGTAGGACCTACCTGGGGTCCTGATGACAAACAGACCCAAATTGCCTCTTGCTTCCTGCCAGCATTGGTGTGCTGGGGTGATGGGGCCACTTCACCCACACGGCCAGTGTGGACTGCAGGAGAGAGGAGAGGTGTCACCATGAAGCCCAGGGTGGGAGAAGCATGAACAGAAGTGGCCTTGAGCCTGCAGGGACATCACGAAAGGGGCCACCGCACTCACCGAGCACTCCTCCTCTGAGGTCTGCACACAGCCCGACTTGTCGTTCCGTACGCAGCAAGCCGAGTGCTTCTCCTTCTCCCGCTTGGCACTGATGAAGCTGTGCACTTGCTGGTCCTGCCTCATGCATGGTGAGAACTTGGCCCCTAGGTGGATCAGGGCCTCCTGGCAGAGATGGAAACACTCAGCTCGGCCAAGGGGCAGGCAATGATTGCCCAGGGCAGAGCAGGCTGGGGGAACTGCGAGGGGTACCCCCATCAGGATTCAAGGGACCAGGAACAAGTCCTGCATGACGAAGTCCAACACACATCAGACATACTCTCAGTATTTGCTTTGAAGAAGGCAAGCCCAGAACAAAAGTTCAGGGATTTCCTTGCCCATGGCCCCAGAAAGCCCAGTGCTGAGCCCGGGAAAGGAAACTTTGGGACACGATAGCCTTTCCCAGGGGGAATGGCATCAGGAAAGCTGTCGCACACCATACAACTCCTGCATTTTCTGTAGCCCTATGCTTGGCTTTGTAGGAACAGAGTGCAAAGCAG